TGGTAATTAGCTAGTTTTTTTTATTTTTTTTATTTAAAATTAATAAAAATAAATATTAATTATTTTAATATTTTTTAATTCTCTTAGAATTTTATAGCTAATTAAGAAAAAAAAACTTGCTTAATTACCAAGTATTAGTAACTTGCATCGTGGGTCCATCGACGCCTATCGGTCCTGTGAATACCCCTCATCCCAACTGTCAAATCGCCATCACATCACCCCCGCGCTGTAGAACCCAGCATAAGCATGGCAACTGCAACAGAAGCTGCCCCTCTCGATATGGAAGCCGAGGATTCGTTTGCGCTCCACGCCCGCAATGATGTGCCCAACCAAGAAGAGACCTCAGCGTACGAGCGCCCCAACACATTCAATGGCCAAGGTGCTGACGCCGGCCGCTAGATGTCAATCGTGCCGGAGAAAAAAGTCCAAATGTTCCAGAAACCAGCCGTGCTCACAATGTGTCAAGTCAGGCAAGTGACCAGTTGACTACCAAGTGTTGCTCGAGGGGACTGGGTTCTCATCCAAGTCTTAGGCGTAGATTGTGTGTACGAGGACAGGAGGCTTAAAGGCGGCATCAAAACCGGAGTCATTGAACGCTTGAACCAGAGAATAGGTACGCATTGGCAGGTCTGGCTGCTCAATACCTAGGTAGCCTCCGTGTCGTGGCCGTGCTAACGGTGCGTGACAGACACGATTGAAAACATGTTTCTTGGTCAAGGGATCCTACTTCAGCAACTATGGCAAGCCAGAGATGCTGCTGCACCGATCCTGCCCAGTTACACGGGCCGGGCAGCCGACTCATTTGTGACATACACGGAAAAGCTAAAAAGAAGTTTCTGCTCCATGGCGAACAATCTCGTCGTGTCGGGGGACGGCTCCGAGGAAGAAAGAGGAGCAGACCAACCGCCTAGCGCAATAGGATCCAAGCGAAAGCGGACGTCACACGATGTTTTTGTCCCCGTGGAAGGACCCCAGGAACGTGCCACGGCGGGTGCTGTTGACATGTGCCAGCAGATCCCTCCATCAAGGGAGCTGGAGACTATTCTGGACATGTACTTCAAGTACGTTCATCCGTGGGTGCCCGTGCTACATGCCGCAACTTTTCTTAGACGAGTGCGGGATCCCAATCGACCGGCTGGGGTGTCTCTACTTGTCCAGGCCATTGTTGCCGTCGCATCTCACTTTCTGCATAGTCCCGGCGACGCAGACTCAGAGGAGCAGCAGGAGCAGCAGCAAGAAGCGAGACAATATGCTTCGCTCTGCCGGCAGAATGTCATCACCTCAGCCATCGAGAGCAACACAAAAGAATCTATCCAGGCGCTGATCCTGGTGACATTTGATTCTGTACGTATACCAGGCGCGTGCCACAAACACACCGGAGCTCTAACTAAGCACCATGGCAGATGAAACGAGGCCTCAGCGCATCGCCATGGTCACTTGTCGCCATCATAAGCCGCAAGATTGACGCGCTGCAGCTCTATTCAGAGGAGCCCATGCGCAGGGAAGGATTCTCCGACTACTTTTCGAGACCTGCGCCCAATCTGGAGGCGGCCCATGCCTGGCTGGAGGTGGAGGAGCGCCGTCGGGTGTTTTGGGCCGCCTTCTTGATGGACCGTTTCTGCAGCATCACCTCGGGGTACAGATAGCGAATGCTTTGCCTTTGCCCGGCGTTGTTCCCCAGGCTAACACGGACACAGAGCCGCCCCAGGCATACCGAGCAAGAATATCCGGAGGCGGCTGCCCTGCGACGGCTACCGATGGGAGCAGGACCTGCGCGTTGAGACGTCCTTCTTCAAGACGCACGAACAAGGCGCCGACGAGACCGACGCCGAGGAACCCGAGCCCCCGTTTCCGCCGGCCTATGCCGACACGGAGCAGCCCAGTGGAATCGGCGGCCTTGCCTACACGATCGAAGCAAGCGAGTCGCTCTTCCTGGTGACAAAGTTTCACGCGCGCCACCCCGTGGAGCTGAACAAGTCTTCGCAGCTTTCCAGCTGGCTGAACAAGTTCCGGCATCTTGACTCGAGGCTTTTGCAGTAGGTTGGGACCGCGAACGAGCAGCTTCTAGCATCAGACGAGTTGTATTGCTGACGGGCCCGACGCGCAGATGGGAGTTGTGCCTGACGCATCGCTGGCGTGACGTGCGCGTCGTCGACGGCTACATTGACCCAAACCTGGCGCTCGCACACATGACGCACAATGCGGCCATTATCGTCCTGCACCGGCGACTCGCCTATCCGCCGGCGTCGTCGCGGGCTTGGCTTTCGGCGCTCGTGTCCGCGGCATCGCGAGAGGCCTGTGTCATGGCGGCCATCAAGATGAACAGGATTGCCAATCGCTACCTGGATGCCAGCGATGGAATCCCGCCGCACCAATTTGTCTTTTGTTTGTACATTGCCGGTGAACTATTCCTCAGTATGAGACAGCCCCGTGGTGGAATTAATATAAAGTTTTCAGCGCTAACATGACACCTGGGCACAAGGCCAAGCCGCTCACCAGTCCATCCCGCCGGCAGACGAGGTTGGCACAATCATGGCTGCGCTCGATGAAATCTCTCGCCGACTACACCGGGGCCGACACGATGCGCAGCAAGACACGCAAGATGAGAACCCGGCTGCTAAATTTGCACGCCGACTGGGAGAGCTCCGCAACGACGGCTCGAAGCAGCCATCCGCCGAGGCATGGCCGGCCAAGACCCCGATGCCGGCCGGCGGCAGCTTTTCAGATCTTCAGTTCATGTCGCCGTTTGGAGAAATGCCCACCATGCTGCCGCAATGCGCCATCTCTCCCTCCAGCGGCATGAGCTGGCTGGGGATGGCAGGGCTGGACGGCGGGGGCTCGCCCGAGTTCTTGGGCGACAACACGCTGGCGCGTACGCATTCGCTGCTGCCCAACGCGAGGATGGCGAGCAACCTGGCCAGGACCCCGGGGGGCGCGGCAGAGAGCCCAGACGGGTTCGACCTGATGGCGGAGCTGCGGAAACTTGAGCACCGGGCAAGAGAGCACGATCGGAGGCTGATCGAGGGGGACGCAACGCAACAGAAGAAGGCACATGATTCTTAGTTGGCTACCTATGGTACGCACTACGCAGTATATTATAATGACAGGACTATCAAGGCAGTATTTCTCAGTCACATTCAGTTTCACGTCAAAGCCCCGGCCCGTTGTACGCCCCCCTATTGGGCTTCTGCGTAAAAGACACGGGGTTGCCGAAAAAGTCGACGCCGCCACTATCCGGGATGACGGCGCCGTTCCCCAGGGCCGGCGACCCCCTGGGAAGCTTGTACCCCCCAACCGAGGCCAAGTCATTGCCGCCGCTGCCGGGATCTACAAACCCGGGGTCGGCCTCGATGCCATTGTCCGTGGGGCGCGGGACGCGGTAAAAGACGTTCCAGCGCCAGCGGATGCCGCTCCGCGCCGGCAGCAAGGCCTTGCCGTTGCCCACAAAGATGTTGTTGGTGAAGTAGGCGTTGTCCGCGACGGCAATGTCAAACCCCTTGTGCTCGTCGGGACAGTACATGACATTCTGGTAAAAGTACAGCGTGGGCCGCCTGCCGTTACTATACATGCGGCAGTCGTTTTCGAAAATGTTGTAGCGGACAATCTGGTCGGCGCCGCCGGGGGGCGCGTCGGGGGGCGCGCAGTCGTCGCAGTTCAAGAAGGCGCCGCCGGCGTTGGCGCGGCTGTAGTTGTACTCGACGGTGCAGTTGCCCGTGTTGCCCCAGTCGCAGTCAAAGGCCTCGCTGTCGACGTCGGACATGGTGCTCCCGTAGACGACGTTGTGGGATATGGTGGGATTGTGGTCGCCGAGCACCCACATGCCGGCAAAGTTGCCGCCCGTGAAGGGGTACGCCCCGGTGCCCAGGTCCGACGCGACGTTGTAGTCCATCAGCGGCGAGTCGCTGTACGAGATGATGATGCCGTCGCCGCCGCAGGCCCGGATCGTGTTGCGCGTGACGCGCGCCTTGTGCCCGAGGTTGTCTGCGGCCCCGACGCGGACTTTGATGCCGCCGCCGCCGCAGTCCGACACGGCATTGTGCTGGACGAGCACGCCGTCGTAGCGGCTGCCGGCGCCGGAGGTGTCGACGAGGATTCCGCACGATAGGATAAAGTCTTTCGAGTGCGTGCGCTTGTTCGTCTGCCCCGCGACGTGGTGGACGGTGTTGTGCTCGATTGTGATGCCCGTGTGCGCCTTGCCGTCGCTCGCCGTGACGTGGATCCCTTGACGGGCGGCGAGGCCTGACGCGGGATTTGTCACGGTGAGGTTGGAGATTTGCCAGTGGTCTTGGTTCGTCAGGGGGACGGCGGCGGCGGCCCCCGTTCCGTTGATGATGGGGTTAGGGTTGTTGTCCGCGGCGGCGGCGGCGGCTGCGTACTTGGTGATGCGAATGGCCGCGTCTGCCGTGCCGACCCCCTTGGGTGATAGTGTCCCGGTGCAGGTGGTGCCGGCCTTGAAGGCAATGACGTCTCCGGGCGCAAAGGTCGGCGAATTGACCTGTTGGAGGCTGTTCCATGGCCTGTGCTGGCTTCCTTCGCCCGCGTCGGGTCGGGAGCAGTCTACATAGTATTGCTTGGCCTGCGCCGACCCCAACGTGAGCAAGGTCAAGACTGCCGCGGCAGATGCGGCCCTGAGTGAAGTCGGTTGCATGGCTGGCTGGCTGGCAAAATATCATCGGATGACGACGAGCGAGCCGGCCTCGTTGATTCAAACGATGAGGTGATTCCACAAATATAGCTGTTTGTCACCGTCCCACAAGTTACAAAACTACGATGCCGGTACTTGCTTGACTCCATATCGTGGCATATGTAGTTTGGGGAAAGACACTGGGGAAGCGGACCTTCGGGCAGAACACCGACAACCCTCCGTCGCCGCATGGTCGTAATACGAGGCCATTTGAATCGGCGGCCCGCCGTCCGACCCATGCAGTCGCCAATTACGGTTGATGGTCTGGACTCTGGAGTCAATAGTCCGTCAAACGTTGCTTCGCATGTGCCCCGGCCCATGACCTGATGTCTGGTGTTCCCCGCGACGTATCACGACATTGCCACCAGCCATGTACTACATAGATTTTGGTGTCGGGTAACAACCCGCGCTACTTGATCCTACGAAAAAACAAAGAAAAGAAAAGAAAAGAAAACTACCGAGCTCATTAAGCAAAGCCAAGTTCCATTATTTGACACTAGTGGCTAATCTACTATATGTGGCCGGCACGAATCTCGTCAGCTCAGGCTCAGCCCAGACTCGGCCTTGTATTTGACGCATGGGCGGCGCGACCACCGCTCTTCAATCTCTGCTAGGGTCATTGCGTTTTTCTCATCGTGGATAGCAAAGACGCCTGTCATGATGACGATATCTTCCTTGGGCCAACTCGGTCCAGAGTGCTTGATCGTTGGCAGCAAAGTCCTGGTTGTCATTAAATTGGTGTTGGGGTCCGGCTTCAATACCTCACCCACGGATCGCAGAGATGGCGGAGACAAAGGAGCCAGGTTGACGATGCCGCTTGCTCCGGCCGACGACAGTACGAGAGACGAGTCTGGCGTCTCTAGTGCAACCTCGCCGTCCCGCAGGCCCAACGACATCAACGTTTGGCCAGCGTCCCCTTGGCGTTTTGGGATGATGCGCCGGTTCGCCTTCTGTCTGCCATCAATGGCAAAGCCGCCCTCGACGGCATCCAGCGAGAGGAGGGACGCATCGTTGCCGGCGCAGATGCGATGTACTCTGACGTGCCAGTCCGGCCACGCTGAGCACGGCGGAATCAGCGTCGTCTCGACTTTCACCGACCCGGTCGGCCACGGCTTCCAACGACTGACCAGCGCCGTGGTGTGTTGCGGCGGGCTGCCGCTTATAGAGATGGGAACCGAGACAAACTCGGTCTCACCCGTAGATACCCAGCGCACCGTCCACGTGTCGCCATTGTCTTTGCTCAGCGCCAACGTGTTGTCTGGCGCGATTTGCGCAACCAGCGGCCCGGTAGGCACACTGAAGCCAAAGGCGGAGGAATACGCAAACTTGGCATACTTTGCCTGCGTTGCCTTCATCGGCCAGACGCAAAACTGCCCCGACGACAGCAGAAAGTGATGCCGCCCCCTGCCGTGATTGCATACAATCTGCCTCGCCGGCCTGACTGGCACGACGTCCTTGTCCCCGGCGTCCTCGCGTCCTTGGTCACGGCTCAGGGGATGCGGCAGCTCCTCGGCCGACCAGAAGGCGTCGCCGCCGGGCAGAGCCACCACAATCAAGGACTTGAGCGCCCAGTACGGCGACTGGGGGGAGTTGTAATCCTCGCTCAGATACATGTTTGGATATAAGTAGCCAATGTTGAGGGTGCCGTCGGACCAGAATATACTCTCCGAGTGGGAAGCCCACCAACGCAGGTGCCGGAGGAGCATTCCCTTGACGGCCCCGTGCGAGGTATACTCGTCGTCGTCGTCGCAAAGCCCGCAGTAGGCAAACGCCGCGTAGAATCCTCCCATGGCGAACTTGTAACACAGAGATCGGCCAAACGGAATCGGTGCGCCTAGTAAGCCGGCTTAGTGTACGGTCTCTTGCATCTTCCATCGCGCACCGCCTCGTCTTACCGTCTTGGTCAAAATAGGCCCAGAACGTACGCGCGTACTGCCTCGCCCGCTGTCTAAACACGGAGCACCTCTCGGGATCCAAGTCGCCGGCAAACTTGGCGTACAGCAGCTGGCTGAACTGCATGGCAAAGCTCCCCGAGTAGTAGTCTGCGTGCCGACCACGCGCGGCGTCAACCCCCGTGCCCTCTTGTCTCGGATCCTCCGCCGCGGCCCGCCACACGCCGTCGGAAGCCCATCCGTCCGCCATGTAGAAGCTCTCAAGCGTCTCGAGATCCTGCTCAACGAGCGGCCACAGCAGCGCGTGCTCTACGCCACAGACCTTGATCAGCGCCAGGTTGGACAGAACGCGGAACCAGCGCCAGTTATTCTCGGGCATCACCTTGCCGTTCAACCCCTTGAGCCAGCGAACCAAGTTGCTCTTGTCGCTTGACGCCAGGGTCTCGTAGAAGGACGCCGGGGCCGCGAGCAGCGCAAACGAAATGATTTCCGCCTCGACCATTCGTTGATCCCAGTCCCCGATTGCGCCCCAGTGCTCTTTGTGAGACGGGTCGAGGCCGTTTCGAAGACCGGCGATCCATGGCTCCAAAAGGGGCTCTGGCCCGGCAGCGTCGGACAAGAGCGCGGTAACCACCCACAGTGGGCGGGCGTAGCCCTCCAGATCGGCGGCGTGCTCGTCAAAGTGAGCGCCCGATGTGATGGGCAGCCGTATTCGAGCCCGGCCGGGGGAAAAGTGTGGCAGCAGAGGTTGGAGAAGTGCTCTTGCGGCCGCTGATACGTTTTCCTTTGTATCGAGCGGGTTGTCGGAGAAGCCTGCTAGTGATGGCATTTTCGGTCATGAGAAAACAAGTCGACTTGTTTCTTGTCCCGTTCAAGATGGTATGATGTTGACGCGCAGTCAGCCTCGGCCGCATCAATGTCGTGGACGATACAATCAAATTCATCGACGTCCCCAAAAGTTATTATCCGACGGGACTTGAACATGACGGATTCTCTTACCCCTGCGCTCATCCCCGCATGTTTGCTCCTCTCCGCACCGGACTCCGGAGGGGTTACGGAGCCGGCCCCGGCCTTTGGGGAATACGACTCTCCTCCGCAAAGTGTGGGGTGTGAATATATCTGGAAATGAATCGAGACTGCTTTCGAGACAACCGTGTGATCAGCATGCAGGAATAGTTTGATTTGGTAAATAACAGCAGTGTCCCGCTGGGTAAGGAGCCGCAGAACCTCCCTTTATTGCAATAGTAGTTGTGCATCCGCCCTTTGTATCGACGTCTCCCAACTTTCGTAATGACCACCACAACATACACACGGCCTCTTTAAAACAAGAGTGAGACCAAAACCATGGTATACCAAACTACAACAACGGTCGAAAACACCGTCAATGACTCCCCTCTCCACGGGGATACAGGGACTCGGAATGGGCGCTTGTCCCAGCTATACGCCAGTAATGGAGTCCTCAAAATTTGGAAAACGGCGATCGAGCATCTCGAGCGAGAGGCGAGTAACAACTCCTCCTCAAGCCGTATTGACTCGGGCAAAAAAACTCACCAAATGATCTCTAGAACCCTCCTCAATCGTTCCCAGAGACTGTTCCGCAGACCGGCCCCGCCACCGGCAAGTATCAGTACCGAGACGCCGACTTTTGGACCTGCGGCTTCTTCCCAGGAAGTCTGTATTGCCTGCTAGAGCGCTCGGTCAAGTATCCGCAGCGGTTTCTCACAGACGGCACGCTCGACGGCAAGGGCTCCCAACACGGCGAGTCGCTACGCCAAGAGCTCCCGGGCGTCTGCCGAGCGTGGTCGGAGCCGTTGCACGAAATGGCCAACCGCACAGACACCCACGACATGGGCTTCATCATCGAGCCCGCTCTCAGACGAGACTTTGAGTTAACGGGCGACGAGCGCAGCCTGGCGTCGATTGTGCGCGCTGCAAAGAGCCTGGCGAGCCGGTATAGCGAGACGACGAGGGCGATCCGCAGCTGGGACACGTTTGTCAACAACCGGCACCAGTTCACGGACAAGGACAAGGACTTTTTGGTCATTATCGACAGCATGTGCAGTAGGTCGTCCTCCGAGGAATACTGATTCGCTCCGTGATTTGGTGTTCGAGGACTGACGGCTTTTGGCAGACTTGGACATCCTCTACTATGCGGGCCATCACAGTCGTGACCAGCGCCTCATTGACATTGCCACCACGCACGCGCACACTGTTTGCAAAACCCACCTGAGGCGGGAAGACTCGTCGTCGGGGTCCAAGTACGGCGAGCTATCAACTTGCCATGTGGCGAATATGTGCCCTGCCACGGGCCAGGTTGTGCGGCGGTTCACGGCACAGGGCTACTCTGATACTTCGACCTGGGCGCGCGGGCAGTCGTGGGCGGTGTTGGGATTTGCACAAACATACATGTGGACCAAGGACGTCGTCTTCCTCCACACGGCCTGCGGCTTGGCCGAGCACTTCATGTCGCGAATGGAGTCGTCGCCGCCGTGTGTCGAGGCAAGCGGTAAGGTGGGCAGATACGTGCCGCTCTGGGACTTTGACGCCCCCGTTGACGAGAAGCATGTAGTCCGGGACAGCGCAGCCGGCGTGATTGCGGCCAACGGGATGCTCGTGATTTCCGGTGCGCTTGCGTCCCTGGGACACTTTGTGGACGCCCAGAGATTTCTTGAATCGTCGCTGGCGATTGTGGAGGACACCCTGGCGTTGTGCTATGCGACCGACGGGCTGGAGCTGGTCGTTGAGCAAAGAGAAGACGGGTCTGCGAGGGTTGTGGCCCGGAGTCTGGAGCAAGAGGCCGAGCCGTTTGACGCCCTGCTTCGATGCGCAACGGCCAACTACAATCGAGACTGGACGGACAAGTACTATAACCATGGGCTTGTGTACGGAGACTACTACCTGCTGGAGTATGGCAATAGACTGCTTCAGCTCGGGTACATGTAGAAAATGGGAGACATAGACTTTCTATGGGAATGAATATAGTACTGTTTCCAAACGCACAACAGCACGGAGCGATTGCCTACATTGCTGTATTTCGGATGCCAATCACCAGACCATGTTGCTTGTGCATACAAATTCGTCCAACGCATCTTTGAGAAGCTGCCAGCATAAACACAGAACACGAGGTTGGAGTGAAAGCTCGCTTCGGCTGTAGCAGGCCCAATGGTGATGGAATGAAATTGCTCCCCCAAACCGGTTATGTTAACCGTTTTGGGACTTTCTTGCATGGGCGTTGAGCCGAGAGGCCGGCATCGTGGCAAGATTCCCCTCACCCCGACTTCTCCGCACAAACCCCGGGCCCGGGTCCAGATGACAATCTGGTGGAAGCCACTTGGGACAAAGCGTAGACAAAGGCATGACGGCCCTTTTGTCAAGTGGATCTCTAGAGCCAGCGTCGTGTCCGTGATTCACACCAGTTACCTGGGGTATAAAGAGTCGAGCAGGGCCCCGGAACCAGGCCGGGCGCCGCTCCGGAACCAAACATTGAAACAACGGGCTGGATTTCCCCGAGAAGAGGCTACATATGTACATGTACGGAGTATTGACAGACACCTGAGCGCCACCGGACCACCGGCCGTTCAACAGCTCGCTGGCCAACCTCACAAACGTCGCGAGATGCTTGGTGGCTTCCACCGCGCTGCTACACAACTTGGACAGTTACATGTGCAGTTATATACGCTTGACCAGCCACTGCAATGGATCGACGGTGATGCTGGCTATTCAAGCGTCTAGACTTGCCCCAAATACCACCTCTCCCATTAATTGTTCTTGAAGTTGGTCTGCCTCCCCCTGCTCGCAATGGCTCCTGATAGGGAGCCCGCCGCCAAGACTTCCGGCGATGTCGCCGCGGACAAGGGCAACGAGGCCGGAGAGGCCGTGCATGAAGAAGTCCTCCCTTCCGCAGAGGCCCTCGCCGAAGCCATGGCCCACGGGACGCCTTCACCGTGGAGCAAGTCTCTTCTCAAGCTGTACTGCTTCTGTGCAGTTGCCTTTCTTTGCTCCACCATGAACGGTATGTGAATGCTGGACTGTCTTGACACTTGGGACTTTTTGCGACTCTTGCTGACACTCTCACGCAAGGTTACGACGGCTCCATCTTTGGTTCCCTGCCCGCGCTGGAATCGTTTAGAAATCGGTTCGAGGTCGGCAAGACGGGCCCCAAGCTGGGCTACATCTCAGCCATGTACACAGTCGGCACGATTGCCTCGCTGCCCGTCACCGGCCCCGCGTGCGACGTCAAGGGCCGCCGCACGGGCATGTTCATCGGCAGCGCCATTGTGATTGCGAGCACCGTGCTGTCCGGGCTGGCCGCCGGCACGGCGCAGTTCGTCGCGGGCCGCTTCTTCCTCGGCTTCGGGGTCAGCATCGTCCGCTGCGCCAGCTCCATCTGGGTGGCCGAGATTGCGCCCCCGTCGAGCCGCGGCGTCCTGACGGCGTTTTACAACTGCACCTACGCCGTCGGGGCCGTCATGGCCGCCGGCGTCACCCGCGGCTCCGTCCGGTACCCCGGCGACGCGGCCTGGAGGATCCCCGTCTGGTGCCAGCTCGTCTGCCCGGCCATTGTGTGCGCCCTCGTCATGCTGTTCCCCGAGTCGCCGCGGTGGCTGTACGCGAACCGGCGAGAAGCGCAGGCCGTCGATTTTCTGGCCGAGTACCACGGAGAGGGGGACCCGAACCACCCTCTTGTGCGGCTGCAGGTCGACGAGTACCGCCGCGTCATTTCCCTCGACGGCTCGGACAAGAAGTGGTGGGACTATGGCGACCTCTACAGGACGCGCTCGGCGCGCTGGCGTGTCGTCAACGCCCTGATCCCCTCGGTCTGGGGGCAGTGTTCGGGAAACGCCATCGTCAGCTACTACCTGCCTGCGATGCTGGCCACCGCGGGCATGACGCGGCCGGACCAGATCCTCAACATCAACCTAGGGTATACCATCGTGTCCGCTGTGGCCTCGTACATTGGCGCCGGCCTCATTGAGAGAATGGGCCGGCGGCCAACCAGCATCTGGACCTCTGTCGCGTGCTCCCTCTGTTTTGCCGGCATCACGGGGGGCGCCGGGGCATATGCGACGACCAAGTCGGGCGCCGCGGCCGCGGCGGGCGTGGCCTTTATCTTCATCTTTGGCTGGTGTTACAACTTTGGCATGACGCCCCTGCAGGCGCTGTATCCCGTCGAGTGCCTGTCGTACGAGCAGCGCGGCAAGGGCCTGGCTTTTGTCTTTGCCTTTGTCCACTGCCTGGCGTTCGTCAACCAGTTTTGCTTTCCGATTGCGTTGCAGAGGATTGGCTGGTACACGTACATTATCTTTATTGGTTGGGACCTGATCCAAGCGGCCATCAGTTACCTCTTCTCCGTGGAGACCAAGGCCAGATCCCTGGAGGAAATGTCGGAGATTTTCGAGGCCAAGAACCCCGTCAAGGCCTCTCTTTCTTCTCCAAGGCGCGCCGAGAGCAGGGGCTAGCCCTGTTTCTGTCCCTGCTGGGTTTGTGGAAATTAAATTATTTAGCTGTCGCAGACGCTGTAAAAGACTTTTATAACGGAAAATTATTGCGCCACTAAACCGTGGTTCCCTTTGTAACATGCCGTTTGAATGCGCTTGGCCCATCCCAAATCCGTCAATGGGCAAGATCAACATACCACCGATCAGGGTTGGTTCTGTCAATCCAGTCAGGTCTCTCACTCACTGATATGACACTGGGTTGGTACATGCAAAGTTGGTCAAAAACGATGCCGCTCCATCCCCCAGGCCTCGTCAGGTTAATGACGTCGGCATCTGAAATCTAGACTTGTCCCATCGTCGAGTTACGGCCTTTTGCATGTTTCTCCAACCCTGTCACGACGGATGTGACCATTCCTAGCAGCAAGGGGTTGTTCGTCGCAGCTGCGACCGTCTATTGGCACAATTGCAAGTCGTCATGAACCTGAAGCCAGTTGGGATCCCGGGCTAACCAAGATGCGGCATCTGAGACTTTAGAAGGGTCGATCTGGAAACTGTGGTTGGAGTTTAGAGGCCGGAAGTCGATCTGCCATATATGGTATCCAGCTTACAAGTATGCACAATTTGGCTCTCTCTCTCTAGGCCCTGACAGGAAAAGCTGTAAACTCCAAGACCTGGTTCGCTACCCCAAGCCTTATTCGCTATCCACCTAGGGTTCTAAATTTTGCTAGCCATTCCATGGCCGTGTCGCGGTAATCTTGTGGCCCATATGGTTCAAACAAGTATGACAAGAGTCCCTGTTTCCTCGTATAGTTCAGTCCTAAATCTTGAAGTAGCACATCGAAGTAGGGAACGGCGTCGAATATGAATGATGGGGCCTTGTTACCCCAATCCACGGGATATCTCCATTTCCCGAACCGATTGACCAAAACTGTTTGGTATTGCAGTTCTTCCAGTGCCCCTGGCTCCAAGAGATTCTGTGTTGCATCGCGGCTCAACCTGCCTGACATGTAAGCTGCTATCCATAGACTCTGGATATGCGCCAATATGGGCGTGCTAAAGTTCATCACCATGCCGCAAAAGGCGACATCTCGATGGCGGAGAAACCGCGGGGACGGGGGTACTATGAATCGATGAAGCATAAATGGTGTCAAGTTGTCATTTCCCGTCGGTCTCCCGGCCTTTACAACCCCGGGCACATTCGAAAGCGGCACGAAATCCTTCAGACACTTGGGCTGGTCTTGCAAGCTCTGAAACTGTGATAAAATCTCCCGGTCGGCCCTGTCGAAAAAAGCTTCATTTCTCCCAAAGGCCTCTCCGTGTAGTCCGTCTTTTTGACTATGGGGAAGCCCCAGCTCTGCCTCAACTCCCTCAGGGAGGAACTTGATTGGGGGCACTTTCTTCCACCCAGTATGTACTAGGATCGAATCCGACTCAAAGCAAGTAGTATCAGAGAGATGGACCTTGCCTGGACTCAGACGCTCAATGTCGGCTATATGAATCTTGACCCGCCCGTTCCTAACAAGGTCGAAAAAGTCGGTGTCATAATTCAAGATGCTAAAACTTGCTCCCGCGAACATGGCATCGAGCTTGGGCTTCAGCTTTCTCGTCTCCGGGTGCGAGTCTAGCTGGCACCGGGCCAGCACGTCTGATGCCAGAATTTTCCAGAACAAGTTGGTGATGAATCTTCCAACTATGGTGCCGTGCAAGAGCCTCCTGACCCATGAATGCCCGCATTGCGAGCCCCAGATACAAGGGCTGAACCATGTGAGCAATCGTGTATCTGTTTCACATGTTAGCATCAAACTTGAGCGAGTTGCCATGCCTTTGAGGTGAACAAACTAGCCAAGAATTCAACCCTTTGCTTGAACGGGGTAACATAGGGCGGTGTCATCCAACATGGGCCGTGGCCATTTGCTGTTTGTGGTTTGGTCCTCCAAGATTAGCAACAGACTTTGCGCCAAAAGCACGAGACAGAGATGTGCGACCGGCATACCTCGAATGACCCAGTGCACTTCGGCTCCAGCTGCCGCGTAAGCATAGACAGCATCCCACGCGTACTTTGTCGACCCATACACCGTAGGACTCTGCGCCATCTTGACGGTATCTGCGTTGTGATGAAAATCGCGGCCGTGGAAAATTCGGCCCCCAAAACTCTCGTCGCCGACAAACCGTACTCGATTGGGCTCAGAAGTAAACCCGGACGCGACGATTAACCTCTGTGAAAACATGGCGAACGTCTCACCGTGACGTTGGAGGGTTAATACCCAGCCCCCTTTGGCTTCTTGATGCTCTGCCGAAATGACCTTTGTTTCGAGACAAATCAGCGGCACGAGGCCAAAATTCTCGGCATACGACTTGAGGTATTCGTGCACTGCTCGGGCAGGAATATGTTGACCTGGTTCGGCGCCAAACTTTCCACTCTCCATGGGGAAATCGGGATATTCGTACGTTCCAAACATGTTGTTGGTCTTTAGACCTGGATACAGCCTCTCCTCCGCCCATGTT